AACCAGCAGAAAGCAGAAGCGATAGAGAGCAGAAAGCAAGAAGCAAAAACAGCAAAAACAGAAAGAGGGAAGCAGAAAGCAAGGAACAACAAGCAAAAAGCAAGAAGCAAAAACCAGCAAGCAGAACCAGAGAGAAGAGCAGTAGGCACCACACATGATCAGGAACCACAGAAGCAAAAAAATCCCAAAAAGAAACACAAACAAATCCCCCAAAAAATAGGCACCCTTTTGCTTTTCATGTTGGTTACGTTACTTTGCCAAGCGGCCAGCATGCCAGGCTTCTGGCTTGGCATTCGTGGGCTCCTCAAAGTTGCAGACTCAATGTCCTTGGTGGAGCCACATGCGGTTGACACGTTCCGCTGGCTTCCATCCACTCCGAATTAGACTTACCTTGTCCCCAGCCCACAGCAATGGCAAGCCCATCATTTGAAGACTTCCTTCACCTCTAACATATTCTAACGTGCAATTTGAAAAGATAGTTTTGCCGACCTCGCTTATCCATGTTTGCCCATTCTGCCCGTATGCTACGTGTTTGTCACAGTGCAGCCGTGGCTGCCGGTGGCAGCAGCTAAGGATTTCCGTAGCCTGAGTGGCGATCTGGCTCTTGGATTTTGTTGAGGCATGGCGAACTATTGAAAGCGGCTCAACCTGCCTTCAGTATGTCTACAGCTCACGGCCCTGCATGTTTTGTTGCAAGCGCTGTGCTGCTATGCAGATGTCCCGTATGCTTTAAAATGCCACTTGTCTAGCCAAGTGCAGCTCAAGTGCCAAGCTCTCTTGATGCCAGCCGATACTCCCTGCACGTCCAAAGAGACAGTTGGGCAGAAGTATCTAAGGTGAGCAGATCGAGTGTGCAAAGCGTGCAAGGCTGCTTGGCTTCATGATGTGGGCACTGCTGACCTGGTCCGCGCCGTTCCCGGCACCCGCATCATCCTTCTTCATTGCTTCCAACTGCTTGCAGAGATGTCATGCCCCTTCAGCTGTGACAGTAGACCCCTTTCCAAGGTGTGCCGTGGGTTGGAAAAGCATCACAAATGCAAGCTGCACTAACGTAGACAAGTCCTGGCCGCCCCGAGTCGCTTCTCAGTTGAGTCAGGTCTGGTAATTGCACACTACGGCAGGTCGACATGCAAGGGCACCACCAGATCAACTGCAGGGAAAGCGAAGGAAATGAATGTGGCTTGTTGAATCTAATGCTTGCAAGCTGAGCGACCCTCAGGCGGGTCCAACGCCGTGACATAACAGCGGAGCCGATTTATGCCCATGGATGCATAGAAATGTTCAGTCACAGTGTCCACCATCCTGGAGCCTCAAGCTTGAGAAGCTGGTTAGCGCCCAGCGTACTTTGATACGAGCATGCTTCTCTGAGCCTCCCATCATACAAGAGCATCCAAACTATCCAAACCCATTTTGAAGACTACCAGCCAGGCTCAAGCTCTGTATGGAGCTGAGATCCAAGCAGTGCAGGCTCCGCGCCGGAGGCTTCTCCTTCCGAAGCAAAAACGTCCAGGGATGTTTGGCCTTGAGTTTGGGGCTTGAAGTTCTGAACATGAGAAATGAGCGCGCGTATGGCAGGCCTGGATTTGCTATACGAACTATTCTGCCACTCTGGCTTTCGTGTTAGGTCTATCCCCTTGAGTTGCTACTGTGATTACACTTCGTGTTGGAAAAGCACTGCACAGGCAAAAGCACCACCCCTGCTGCTGTGCTGCTTCACGCGGCTAGAATATTAGCATTCTGTGTCTTTTCTTTTCGTTGCTCGTCCATCCTCATTGATCCTCATTGCGCCCATTTTTCCCTTGGATTCTCTGACTATCGGCGCTGTCATGATGTCATGGGAAGTCGCAATTGCCAGGAGACAGAGATGTATCCTAGAGAAATTGCTTCGAGGCTGGTCCGGCCTCAGGGCGTTTGGAACCCTCGAAAACCCCCTCTACTCCACCGGAGCATTTTTTGATTTCCCGAACCCCCGCCCCGCGCGGCAGTCCCCCCACCCACCCACCCACCCACCCACCTTGACAGGTCTACGAGCTCCTTGGATGGCGCGTATGAGTGCTTCAAAAAAGATTCTTTTTGACAGCCAAGGCTGCTGTGCGACAGCATTTACAATGAAACTATGGGCACATAGAGTCCTGTTATATCATGTTTCAACTGTCTTGATGGGGATCGGGATCCGGGGGGTAAAGGGTCAAGCTAAACAAGCAAAGATAAAACGATCAAAGCTCTGTTTTTCTTCGGCGCAGCTAGAGCGATGTCCGAAGTGCAGGATAAGATCAAAAGAAAGGTTTTGTGGGTGCAGCCAAGGCAAATTGCAGCACTTGACATTGCCCTTGCCCGAGGAATGCAAAACAGTCCAGATGCTGATTGCGCCCCCTCTCTTGTGAACCGTCCTCGGTAATCTCATTGGACCCCTGAGAAGATTTCTTTTAGATGGAATATGCGGTTCTAGATGCTTCTAGAAGAGGTGTCCTTCTGGAAGTGGGAATAGAACCACTGCAGGAATTCCTCGAAATCCACGCAGCCGCTGCCTGCAGGAGCAAAGTTGAACTGGAGATTGCCGGCGCGTTATCCATCATTATCCCAGAACTTTTCATATCCTGTGCTTGAATTCCATCTTGTTGAAACGAAACATGGTCCCCACTAAAGCTGCCTGCGCAAAGCCTTAAGCATCGTACTGAAGTTGAAACTCGAGCGGCTGTCTCTGTCGACAATGTTCCAGAGAGCTCGAAGATGGTTATCTTGCAACATCCTTACTTTGTAAACACAACAAACAATTGGGGCTGTGAAGGAGCGGTGACATCTCCAATGCTCATGCTACTACGGTAGCTATTCGCTGCTAGCTGAGATGATACCAGCACTGTGACGAAATCATGACGACAGCCATCCGAGCTGCACGTCCTCCTTCTGGCCCAGGTGGCGGTAGGTCAACGATCGCACCACATTCTTGAAGTCAGTGTAATTTAGGAAGCCACGGCTTTCGGTATCCCATCGGGAAAACCTGTCTCAATCAAAAGCGCGCAAACCACTTCTTGTGCACAAATTCAAATTCGCTCTGACTATGCTACACGAAGGCTGCAGCTGAGCTGCTCTTTTAGCACCTTGTCTCGAGACTCACTGAAGACATTGGACTGTCATGAGGCGTTCGAACCACTACCACTAACAGTCACTAGCAGCAGGCTGCATAATCGTGGCAGAATGACAATAATGAAAAACAAAATGCACGCAGCACTACAATCCCTCAGAAAAGAAGGCCTAACAGTAACGAAGCAGCATGCGCGGTCCGCCACTTCGCCCGCAGCATGCAGACCCAGCATTGCATGCCACCAAAATGCGAGCATGGCGTGAGCTCTTGAAGCTCGTTACGAAAGCAGTGCGAAAACCACAGCGGCACCACTCCGAGAGGCGCGGGTGAAGTAAAGCAGCATGCGCCCGGCCGCTAGGGCTTCAGAGCCGGCGATACAACTGGAGGAAGTGAGACGTAGCTGCCATGTACAGGTCCACGCACACCGACAAGCTGCTACGCTCCGCTGCAGGCACAATGCATGCAAACGAAGCCAAAAATTCACCAACAGCACGGGGCGAGTCATGGTTGTAGCAATCATAGCAAAGTCCGGAATGGCAGTGTAGCAAGAGTGGTCGCGGCGGTAGTGGAGTGGCGGCGAGGGGAGGAGCCACAGCAGCGCCCGAAGCGTAACGTGTCTATGACGACAGCAACGTTAAATCAACAGCCTCATGGGAAACAACAATAATGATGAAGAAAAGCACACATTGCAATGATGACTCCACAACATGGCGAAGATTGCACCCATAAGGGGCTTAAGAACACGACAGCCGAAGAATGGAACATGGACAAGGATAACTAAAAACAGCCCAAGGCCCAGGGAGGAAGACTGGACTGGATGAACATAGCATTCACCAGAACAGCGCTTCTAATTGAATGCGTGTTGCCTTTTGCAAAGCCAAGATAAGTGCTGAACAAATGAAGCTGTAAATCTGAGCCATAACCCGGCTAATCAGCTCTTGAACGATAGCGGCAAAAGCAATATTTCCCAAATCACTCAGCAACTCAAGTGACGTTCCCCCAACTCCAAACAGGACATTCAAAGATGACAGCAGAACATCTGGCAGATTTTGCTGCTGGGCAGCCGTCTCAGTGCAGTCGATGGGTATATGGTACTTGCGTGCCAGCTTGCGGGTAGCCCGCTCCATCTCATCAATAAAGCGCTCGTCGAACATGATTGTGGCGGACAGTTTGCCTCACGAGATGCAGATGCCTTGATGTGAAGGCTTTAGCTCACTGCTTTGCCCCGAAGCTGGGACAGCAAATGGAAAGACAACTGCACCAGACCACTCTTCCAATGGCCGGCAAAAGGACAATCATAAGAATGTCAGATCTGAGGAAACGAGAGAATCAACAGCGGCAGGGGCAGGTCTACAACACATGCGATTCAAGTCACGATGTGTGACAAGAGGGAGCTTCTTGCCGTACACAATCAGCGGGTGCAGCAAGCGCATGTTTCCTGGACATTGCCGCTCTGTCAGTGCGACCAGGACTAACTTGATCTGCCTAGCCAGGAGAAGTTTACAATACCTGTAAATTCTGCAGCAATATTCGATGGTGACTGAGCTCATGACGCCTTTGAGCGCAGATCTCGTTGGCTCTCATGCCGACAAATTCAGATTCAGCTGAGGAGCCAGATGTGGAATGGGACGCGTGGAATATGATTCGAAGAAAACCTAGCTATAGTTTCTGACTGCAGGAATCAGTCCAATGTTCGAACTTCTCAGGCGCAAACATCGACCGTTCAAGACAAGCTTGGCTAAGTTGTGCCCCAAGGCCGAGAGGCGCGTGCGGATTGGAGGGAATCTGAGGGTGTGCGAGTGCCTGTCCCGCGCTTGCGGCCCAGACTTCAAGGATGCCTTTGCTTGCAGCCCACAATCAAAACTCCACCACTACAACTACGACGACGACGACGACGACTACTACTACTAATACTAATACTAATACTCATACTAATACTACTTCTGCTACTGCGACTGCTACTGCTACGGTTACTACTACGACTGCTATTACTGCAAGACTACCTTCGCTTTGCCATGCTGGCTGCGCTGTTGCCCTCGCAGGTTTTTGTCATGCTTCGCTTACTTGAGAAGTACCGTGTTGGCACGCGCTCTCTACGAAGAGTGCTCAGCCTCGGGCGCAGCAGGCCCAGTCTCTACTACATGTTGGAAGCAGTCAAGTTTAGGGATGAACCACAGTATGGAAATGACCATGATTACCGACCGGGCTTTAAAACTCATCATCTGTTGCCTTTACGAGTCTACACGCCCACCCATCCACCCATCCACCCACTCACCAAGGCACCCACGCATCCACCCACCAAAATAGGTAGAGCTCATTTAAGAAAACCGAAAAGCCTGTCACAACGCTTTGGGAAAGCTCCCCAGACGACATGGGTGGGCTCTAAAGCACGCTTTGTTCTGCGGCCTCGTGAAGAAAAGGGCTCCTTCGTGGTTGAGACTTTGTGATCTACATATGCATATATGCCATTCAGGTGTTCGACGAGAGCGCCTGAAAAATCTGTTGACCAATCAGAGCAACTATGGTTTCCTTGCCAGTTCCTCATTTTCTAACAAAAACTGCTATCTACTGCTATGAAAGCAGTGAGCATGAAAGAAGCACCAAAAACAATCAAATTCCAAAGGGGTGTCCCAGCAGGCCCCCTGAACTGCACTAATGCAAAAATGGGGGGGGGGTCTCAACTATGTAAAGATTTTTGCGGTGGGCTAAACGTGGGCCAAGCCTTTGAATTTCAACATAAAGGTCAAGATCCATTACGAAGGACCCAGCCTAGTCCCTCCTCCTGTTCAAAACGTCTACTGGGGCTCAAACACGTAGATTGTCCAAGTCTCCACTAAGCGAGGCGTGTGCGCGCTCTACTCCCCTAAGCCCCTAACCTCTTCTTTGGAATTTTTCCTTACAGATTCCAACGGTGCCGAATAACTCCCTTGAAAATTAGTTTCAATAGGAACGCAGGATCCCACAACCTCCCTAATTTGTTTTGGGTGGTTCAGTTGCAGAGGGTCCCCTTTCTGCTTGCGGGGCCCACGCTAAGCCGCTAATCAGTATCCACCATTACTCTAGTGATGTAATACGGAAACAAAGATTTCAGGCTAAGGCCAAAGCTAGATGGACCCGGGAAGAACCTCAATCTGATTGAGCTCGCAAGTGTAAGGCTAACTCCAAGCTGCTCGCGCAATCACTGCCCAGGTCCCACGAGTGATCAACGCTGCGGAGTTCACCGCGCTGGCTTCGGGAGCTCGCTGTGCCTCGCAAACGGAGGCGGGGGGCTTAGCATGAATTCAGGGTCCTTTATCGAGTGGTCACAGTCAATTAAATCTTTGCAGAATTTTCGGGCATGTACCTGGGCCCCCTGTTTTAGACACTTGTTGACAACACCTACGACACTGTCTTGGGCCATCACAGCATGGAAAAGCAATGCCGCCCCCCGTGCAATTTGAGGCATCTCTTCGCTTATGTAAAGTATGGCACTCCTCGTTGTCGCTGTGTAGCACTCGTCTTGCTCTTCTTCGTGTCGTGAGTGTAGGTTGAGCTTCTCGATTCACAATGTAAACCACGATTGGGTATTCCATGCGCTCAGGGCCCTGCCTCTTCAGCAAGGCGATGGTGCTCGTCGACAACTTCCATAACTCCAATGATAGCACGCATGACTGTGATGTTCTTGGGGTCATAGAGTGTTCCAGTACATCGAATCTTGACCTTCGAGATGTCCTTGCTCCGCGAAAGCTCACGCTCAACAAAGACAATTGTGCGAAAGTCTGCGTGGCTTATCTTGCAAAACCAACAGCAGATGCTACACTGACAGAAGTTTCTGACCCTTCATACCCCTCAGCACCTTCCGCTTACATTACTAATTCAATACAAGTTGCAGCATCCGAGCCCAAATCGAGGAAAAGAAAATGCTCTGGTGGAGCATCTGTCTCCCACTGGTTTCCGATGCTGCCAACCCCGCCAGCTTCAAGCTCAGCAAGTTGCTGTACCTACTCAGCCAAACTCGAGTGCCACATCTGCCACATGACCTAGACTTTGCAATGCTCATCTGCCCAACGCAGGTCATGCAGGTATGCTGTCGCATCATGCTGTTTGCAAAATATGCCAGGACAGGCCTGCGGGTCTGGTCGTTCAGGATGATACTCCAAATTGTGCGCGGCGCACCGATAGCTGCGCTTCTGCGAGCTCCAGCCTGGCACGAGGCTCTTGATCTAATCTTGCGCTTCTCAACATAGAGATATGCCGCAAAGGAGCTGATGATCTTGAACGGCAATGGCCCCTTTTCTCGCATCTTCTTTTGCTCCCCGGCCGTCTTCCCATCACCCACCGCGATGCGGGCTTTGCCTTTGACGCCTAGGGAGCAGCTCCATCATGGAAGACCGCCAAGGCTGCTACCGCCAAGCCGAATCAAATAGCTGAGCATCAGACCTTTTTTTGCTGCCTTGTTGGCGACAAATGTTGTTTTCCGCCCTGCAGCCAGAAGACATACAAATGGCTGAGCCAGGTTTTGCGCCTACAGGGAAAACCCGAGCTTGCGTGACAATCATCTGGCCCAGAGTTGTTCTTGCGTTTGTGCGGCAGCAGGAAAGTAATATACGACACAGTAACCTGCGGAAAATGGTTCTTTCAAAAAAGGCACATAGGCTTCCCTGCTACACGCGGAAGAACCTCTCTCGTGGTAAAGCAATTGCTGCATGCAAGATTGCAAAGTCTCAAGCATGCCTACGACTCGGGAATTCCGTTGCTCATCGCCATCACCACCTCCTACACGATCAAAGTAGGTAGAATGCTGGACCAACGGCAGCCGCATTGCTGCGCACGAACTGTGTCTCCTCTTGGTGTCTTGCCATCGTCTGAAAGATGCAAAGATAATTGAGTGTTTGCTCCTTGGTAGCAGGCTGGTGGGAAAGATGCGCAGATGCGCTTGGGATGTGTCAGGGCTCCATATGATTGATGTCTTTGCTTGACCTGCTCCGTCGCAAACTTGCTTCACGTCTCTCTCTCCTGCCGCCTCTTGGTCATAGGCCAAGACACTCGCGCGGGGGGTCCCCGTGCGTTCGCGGTCCTGTTCGCGTTGAAGCTCCGCAGTGCATCCAAGAAGCTTTAAACATCCAAACCCAATCAAACACCATTTATGATGTGGACATGTTGCTCAAACCACATCAAACCCAATTTGAAGGAAGCCTTCACCTCTAAGACCTAAACCCAATTTGAAGGAAACCTCTACACAACTGGCCGAATTAATGGCAATCACCCTGAAGGGTTGCCATGGGAATTTGCTAAGGCTTTCTAGCTCTTAGTGGGGAATGTGGGCATACATTATATAGGGGTTATATAAGGACTTATAAGGATTATACGGTGAGTTTCCCTGAATAGAGGATATAGACCCCTAAGAACCAGTAAGAAAGAGAGCTTCCAAGGCATGTCCTGATTGTCGTTGGCCTCCTGCTGCTGCACCTGCTGCAGCTGCCTGACGGCAGCATGCTTCAAAGAAGGCCCTGCTCCGGACTGATGATAGTTTCCCGAATATAGAAAATCAAAAGGAAAAGAACATGGAAAATGAAATGGAAGCTACTATGTATGGGGCATAGGGATTGGGGTTTGGGGTTTAGGGTATATGCGTGGGTGATATAGGGTAGTATAGGGATAATGGAAAATGGAAATTACCATCATTCAAATATTATGTAGAATGTAGGGGTAGTCTGCAGAGGGTATATAGGGATAACGGAGAATCAAATGGAAACTCAAAGGGAAAATCATCTGAAGCTACTGTATATAGGGTACTATAAGGATTACATGCTAGTTCCCTGAAACAAGGAGACCCTCCTAATATAGACCCCAATATACTATAATCCCTTTTACCCGGACCCCTCAAAATGGTACCCCTATTGTTGGGGAAACCCCTTATGGCCACTGCCACAGAAGCAAAACAAATCCACACATCCTTGAGCCTGGCCACATTTTGCTCATCAGCGTGGCCCGCATATTGCGTGTTTGCTGGCCGGGCTGCTCACCTGAAGGACGCTCTGTTTTGAACACCAAATATAGCCCCATATACAGTACAGTAGCTTCCGTTTAATTTCCCATTGGGTTCCCCATGATTCCTATATAACCCTATATACAGTAGCGCTCATTTGATTTTCCATTTGATTCTCCATGATTCCTATATAACCCCACATACACTTGTAATCCAAACCCTAAGCCTTGTCAAGCCTTGAACATATGCGGCCAAGCACTCTCATCGGTCGATATCTGCTGGAAGCCAGGCCCTGACAACGACTGCCGTGGCGTCTGGCCAGACGCATTGCCTGAAGTCTGCATGTTCACATGCCTGATACTGAACATGCAGTGCAACAGGGCCATGCTTCCCTGGCTTCCACCATCGGTTGTTGAAGCTCGTCATCCGGGACAGAATTTGAAGTTGTAAATGCGCAGCATGCATCCGCCACAAGAAGCCGTGTCTTCATTGGCATCGAGTTGTTGCTGTAAATTCTGAGGTCTTCCAAGAATTTGCTCTGAATCCTCAAGTCTATGTCTTGCCATGTAATCCACATTAGCTTTAACTTTGCCACTAGCTAGCAGTTTCTTCCGAAGCCTTGAAATGGCGTCTTGGGGCTGCTGCAGACAAGGTGCTATGACTGTCATCTCTGCTCTCATGCCTGGATTGCATACCTGGAATCGACAGCGTCGAAGCTGGCATTTTGTCCACCCCTTCGTCACCTGCTCCTGATTCAGCATCTTCATCCTCATCTCAGGATTCGCCAATGAGTCCCCGACTGCAACGTGAAATGCTGCCAGGCGTCTGCTTCTTCCGACTCGCTGCTAGATGGCTGCATGTCTCCTGTGCGAACATGTCAGCGAGTTGATAATAATTTGGTAGTAGTAGTAGTAGTAGTAGTAGTACTTAAATGAAGGTTCATATTATTAGTAGTAGTAATATTTATAATCTTTTTTGCTACTGGTACCAATGATAGAAATAATTTCCTAAATATTAGTCGTAATATTAAGACTAGTATTCTTATTTCAATAATATTAACCATAGAAGTACTATTTATCAATGATAGTAGTAATATCAATATATCTAAGTCTGAGCCCTTCGTCCTTCAAGTCCTCCAAACTCGGCTCCATTGCCGCCGTTTTCGCTGCTGTTGATGCCTTCCCTCAATTCCTGGGCTGCTGTTAAGGAACTTCAATTGAGTTACCATAATGGGTATACAGGGCATACGCACATATCTATATACATACATATGTATATATACATATGTGTATATATACGTTCCCGGTCCTGGGGATCCTACCCCCCCCCCCCCACTTCCCCCCATGGTATGGTCACTCCTCCCCAGCCCAAACCTCTCAAAAGTGCCAACAGTCACAGGGATGGGGCCTGTCGAGGTCACGATCCTCGGAACTGTCGTCGTGTTTGACGCCTCAAAGCTGCCATCCTTGAACTGTTGTCACTTTTGGCTCCTCGTGCTTTCGTCGCGTTTCAAGAGTCCCAACAGTTACAGGGATGGGGGCCCCCTAATGTCACGATCCTTGTAACTGTCATCACTTTTGGACCTCAGTGTGGTCTTGGCATCTGAGAAGCGCCAACAGTCACAGAGAAGGGGCCTCCCAGGGTCGCGATCCTTGCAACTGTCGTCACTGTTAGACCTTCGTGCATGTCACTGCACTGGCAGGAAACTCAAAGCTTCCCCCTGTGGACCTATGCCGTGCTGGTGATTCTCCCTCCCCCCTGTGGTGCTGCGGTTCTGGTAGTCCTGTCCGTGCGGTTCTGGTGGTATACTAGGAGGGTGTGGGTATTCGTACATGATCCTGCTGCATATCCCATATTATTTGGAATGCTGTTACCTTAATTCTTCTAATGATTTTGGAACAAGTTTACGTGGAGGTTCCTGTAGTGCCAGCTCACGATAATGCCTAAGTAGAGCTATAGCCCCAGGTATACCACCAATTGATATCCTATCGTCAAGGTTCTAGTGTAGGGAAGGCAGGGGGGAGGGGTGGGGGGGGTGGCAGCCCTGGATTATATACACATATATATATAAATATATAGTGTTTAGGGCTCTGGGTTAAGGAACTTGAATTTACTATAGTGGGTACATTTTTTTCATAACACGGGTTCACCAAAAAAGTAGCTTAAATCAAATTACCATAATGGGTATATATAATGAAAATAGGGCTTGCCCCAATGCATAAGTTTAAATTAAGCTATCATAGTGAGTATATATAGTTGATTTAAAAAAGGCTTTCCCCAATACAGCAGCATACAGTAGCTTAAATCAAGTTCCTTAACATTAACCCTGATTCGCGTGGGTCCAGTGTCGCGTCATTGGCCGACTTCACCGGAGCTTCCTCTTCCTGGGTTGCTGTTGAGGAACTTAAATTAAGTTACCATAATGGGTATATATAGTAAATAATAGGGTTTCCCCAATATAGTAACTTTTAATTTAAGTTCCTTAACAGCAACCCAGCTTCATCTTCCAACTTGCCCCATATTTCAGAGCCTTGCAGCTCAAGTACGCATGATTTTCGACATCACTTCTCAGCAAGCTCGGCAGAATTCCAATACAGGCTCCACCCTTGGTCTTCTGAAATCACATAAATCAGCCACTGAGCCTGCAGATTTGCTCTTCAAGCTCTGGATTCCAGCCAAAGACTTCCTCAGATCTCTTTAGCCTTGAAAGAGGCTCTGCCGAATGAAGCCGCTCAAGGAGATCTTTTCAGTTACTTCCAGAAGGAGACCCGAATCAGGCTGAGGCATGTGAGTAAACAGGGCAGCCGAAACAATCCTCAGCAATAAAGCTTGCTTCAGTGGGATTTTGGCAGCACAGTTTTACCGGGCCTGCATATCTACATCCTGCAGCTCTTCAGTTTGGCTGGCTCTCACTCTGACTTGTGGATCATGGCAGACGCATTAATGCGTAGTTTCAGCTAGCATGTCGGCCGTCAGGTGATTGCTTCAGTCTGGGACAGGCCTTTCAACATTTCTTGAACTTGTGTCTGCAGTATATGATCCTTGCAACCAATCGCGCAGTTACAGCAGCCCACCCAGTGCTGCCGCAGGCATCACCGATTGGACAAGCTTACAAGGATCTAGCTACTTGGAGGTGATAATTTCCGAAGTTGCAGCTGTAAGAAGCCCTTCAAAGCTGCATAAAACAGCTTCAGATTAGCCAGGCAAGCAAGCGGCCCTCCCAGTGGGGAGTGGGTCCTCTTGAGAAAGCTTGGACGCCTGAACCGCCTAGAGGAAGCTGTATGTTTCATCGCGAGGACCTCAGCCCGTATAGCTCGTCCAAATCCTCATGCCCACGATATGTAGCAATCTTCACCTGAGTGCACACTCTGCAGTGAAGCAGCCTTTGACTGCGCGACCTCGGATTCCGATAAGCGCGCTCGCTCAGTGAGGAGCCTCGACCTTGAGCAAATCGGCACGATTTTTGAGTTTGCAGATTCCCTGTGACACCAGGAGCCTGACAAAGGCTGCCCTAGGGCGGTTCCTTGCCCTTTCATGATGTCTCGCATCATCTTCATGTGCGGGGTCCACCGGAGCTTTTTTTCTTCCCCTTGGTGGTGTGATACCAGCATCTGTGGGCTGTCACGATTTAGCTGGGAGCAAACTCTTTTACTGCCGAGCATCTTTGGACTTTCTCCGGTGGCGTTAAGGATGTAAATGCCAGCTCGCCAGCAGGACCTCCTGCAGCCATCGAGGCCCAAGCCGAACCCAAGGCCCACGCATGTGAAGCAGTCAAGGAGCCTTCGCGCCATGTGCACAGCTCTACGAGATTGCTCCGCATTGGCATGCTGAATGAGGCCACACTTTGGCGGCTGCGCACTTCCCGTCCTTAGATCTGTACTGAAAGAACAGTTTGTTTGGTTTCTCGGCTGCCAATTGTGCTTTGGGAAATCTTGCCTGGCAATTCACACATCACAGTCCAAACGCACAGCCTCTAAAATGTTCTGCCATGGCTCAGCTATCCAGGCAGCCATCAGCCCATTGGGGAGGAGCCGTCTCTACACTTTGCATTAAAAACTGAGCAAACGGCACCAAACGGCAAGCCTGATTCACCCAATCCCGCGCTTTGCAGGAGGAACCTTACCTTGTCAAAGGCACCCCCCACGGCCGATTAGCCAAACAACAGCTTGACCAACCAAACAAGCATCGATCGTGCTGCCTTCCCATGATGGCTGGGAATTTCAAGTGGCTTTCTCCCTGGACCTTTTTCTGCGAACATTAGCTTCAAGATTTGCCATCCTTCTTCTTCTTCGCGTACTCCATGGCCTCACTTCCATAGTGTGGGCTGCCAACCTTCTGTGTCCATGCTTGCAGGCCTTCAGCAAGGAGTCCGAGACATCCTTTTCGCCAGAATCCCGCCCGGTCCGCCGCAAACGCCGGTACACGTTTTGAAAGGCATCAAGATGATCCAGGTTCTCGTGCACCTGGTACCTTCGACATCAATTGTGCTGCTAAGGCATGCTACCTAGGCTTGATTTTTGTTTGCAGGTAAGCTGCTCCTTGGCCTTGTCTTCCACTCTGTCAGACGGAATCTCTACATACCTCGGCTGCTATTGCCCAAAGCTGCTTTCATGCCTGGAAAGCGGACATACAGCATCCTTTTGCATTGCAGAAAGCTGGACAGGAGAGAAAAAGTGCACAACCAGCGAATCCTTCCAAGAAGCATCCCGGCAGCGTCTGTGGAACCCATCAAGCGCTGACCTGGGAGCAAATTTCAATCTTGTTGTCCTGCGTCCGTAATATTTCCAAATATTTTCCAAAGGAGCTGAGGTGCTGCTAGCTTTCGGCTGCAACCGATTGCTCAGGCGAGAGTCAATGCCTTGATGCTCAGAGAAATTGAGCCACTTGCTACTGCCCCAACCAGATTGCTGATCCAAGCTGCTGGAGGTCTGATCATCCTCCGGCACCTTTCTTGCAGGAAAAGCTTCAGCACAGAATGGGCAGCGTGGGTGGTCCAAGACTGGAGTCTGTCCTCTGCGTCCGCGATGGGAAGCACCAGACCCTCCACGGAGCATTTGCCACGATAGCGTGCCGCCTCTAATTGGTCGGCCTCACGAGCCAGGACGGGTGCGGCAGGACGGGTGCGACAAACGCATCAGCAATGTGCTTTGGGATTGCGACCACGGGCACGCTCCCGTTGTCATCTTTCTTTGAGCTTGCATGCCGCCTTGAGAGGGTTCGTAAAATTCCACGTCTCGCATCTGCAAACAGCGGATGGGTGCAAAAAAGGGGCCAAACAAAGTTTGAAGGATGCCTGTGAATAAAAGGTCGGCCACCTGGGCAAGCAATACAATGCCTGGACCACATCATTTGTAGGCAGGCCTCGCACTGAAGACCACAAGTGGAAGAAGCGACTTATTTGTAATGATTCAAAGCTAGGATCATGAAGCATGAGTCAGTCGTCTTTCATCCGCGGCCGCTTCATGACCAGATTTTGCAAATAGGCATTTCAAGTCCCAGATGCCCAAGCCCAAAGCCTGCGCTGTCCAGGACACGGCACTTATGCGCACGAGCGGCATCGTTTAAGCATTGATGTTGTTGTGTTTGCTTTGCTCAAAGGCGGGGTGATGCAACTCTTTGTGACTGCTAAGCTTTCCATTCCTGAAGCGAAAGCTGACGGCTTCACATTACTACTGCATCAACCTGCAATTTGGAAGTGGCTTCAGCAGCTAGTTAGACCTGTTGCTTGGACTTTAAGTCAAATTGGAGCAGCATGCGCGATCATGCCGCTGATGTCCCAGCACTCCTTTCAGCTGCTGTCCAGGCACAAGACTCTTCCTTAGACGGTGCTACCTATATCTCCTTTCTAAGCGTCTTGCTTTGGCACAAAACTGTACAGATCTCGGGGCCAGTCTTGGAGCTTTGCCCCAGGAGACAAGTAGAGAAGGTAGACTGACGCCATTCTACGTGGCCTGCATCATTAACTGCCGGCATACTGGCGTCGCCATACCGAGAATCCAGGAGGCCTTTTGCACAAAAGGACTTGCTACCAGCAGCCAAAGACTACAGGGCTTACTCAGCTCCGCTGCCTCACTTGCCCTTGCCAAGATTGAACTTGTAGAAAATCACGTCCCCGTCTTGGACCTGCACAGCTGGACCGGCTTAGCATGGTCTGACTGGTTGGGTTAGCGGTTCCCAGTGTCCTCATACAGCTTCCCTTCTTGTCGGTACTTGCCCGCAGCCTTAACATCTGCTTCAAGAGTCTTGCAGTAGCAGGTGCATGCAACACACTTGGTCCAACGGCCTTCACATTGGCCTCGCTGCCCAATTCCTTCAGATCACTGAAAGCCATGACTTCGGCCATGATGAAGCCTCATGTCAACTGCAGCTGGAACGCCGCAACATCTGCAATGAGGCGCCTTTCTCAAAATCGGTGTGAATAACTCCAGCCGCTTGGGGTGCCTTGAGATCTGGGAACAATGTCGGCATCTGTTTATGCAAAAACTCCCGTCCTGCCTTGTATCCCTTGCGGACTGTCCAAGCCTTCACTTCATCAGGGCCTGCGGTGAAGAAATTGATGAGGTGTACCTGGCGAAGATTGGTGGCCTGTTGTGCAGCGAAGTGCCTGCTACGTTGAAGTCCCAAACTGCTTCAGGCTCACCATGTGGAAAGCTGTGGTAATCATCTTTGGCATGGCGCTGCTAACGCCTTGGCTGGAACTAAAGCACAGGGAAAAGACTGACCGCTGAAGCTGCCGTGTCAATGGTCATAACATAACGCAACATACTCTAGCTTGTTGACCTAATGCCGTAACTTGTTCTGAAGGCTCGTGGTTACAAAGCGGGGCGAATGACATCCAGGCACCGTCCTCTGCTAGCTGTTTCTGTCGCTCCTCCTCGGTCTCCATGTCTTGCAGCTCCTCTTCATAGGCACCGCCTGAGATCAAAGCCGATGAGACAGCTGACAGAGCAGGTCAGAACAAACCCCCAACAGAATCTCCATGCACTACTCTCTGCAATCTTATTAGGTTCTTGCGGCATCTACGTAGCTGCATGCTGCCGCGCTTCAATAAGGGATCATGGCACTGCCAGGGGAGTTGGCCTGTACCCAATCGTAGATGGGCTTCAGGAATTTATTCCTCAGCTCAGGGGCTCAGGGAGGGCAGCACTGCACCTGCTGTTGTCTTCTGAGCGATGGCGGAAACTCATCCAAGAATCTTTTTTCGGCAGAAGTCCTTCCTCAGGTCAGACCAACGGGGAAGCCAACCCTACATTGGTGGAAAGTAGCGTTTGCCGCGTTATCATGGAGCAGCACTTGCCACTTCATCCAAATACTTTGCATGCGCTTTGCTGTCCTCCATTTAAGCTCTCCCTGCCTTCCATTGCAAGTAACTAACATCCTTGCTCACAACCGATGCCGTATCCGGCCCCTGGACAAAAGCCGGTTCGATGATCAAAAGCCCTGCTAGGACAAGCAGCTTGTTCATGTTGATTGCGTACATGCAAGGCTTTGCTGTGAGCAAGCCGTAGTCGTTGATAAACTCGATGTCCTTGACTGCTGCGGTGCAGGCATCAGACCTTCCAAAGATGATGGGTGATCGAACTCACAAGCTGCTGACAAGTGACTTTGGTGGTCCACCGGTCCATGCCGTTCCTAAGAGAATAGTTTTCGCAACATGCTCAAGCATGTTCTTCTATCATCTGTGCAATTTCCAGCCAAGCAATCGTGCGCATCATGCCGCTGTAATTGATCGCCAAGCGGCTTGACATCCTGTGCCAGGGATACTTCACCCTTCATGTGCCTCCACGAAACCTGACCCAAAAGTGAGAAGTCCTCCTGCCTTTCCTTCCTCCATCCATGCAATCACCTTCTCCATGGTTTCCAGCTCCTCCTCCCACTTCCTGACTACTGGCAGTGCCCCACACCACAGCATCGCTCTCTGGTCGGGAGTGCCCTAAGGCATGCAATTGAGAACCCAAATCGCTAGATAAGTTTGATCGATGACCCGAGTCTCAACCTTTCATCAGTCTTAGGCCCCGGTGGACCTGAGATCTGGATGCCCGGCAAAGAGAACCCGAAAAGCACACCTGCATCTTGAGAAAACCGAACTTCAGCGCCACGAGTCTTCAGATGGGCGGGCGACTTGGTCCTAGCTGCCGCATGGCCCTTCTTGTGCATCTCAACCTGCGCAAATCTTCCAGGATTGCTTCTCAAGAGTGCTTCTGCAGGCCAGCTGCTGCGTAGCGCTGATTTTGATAGGGCTTCGAAGTGTCCATCAACCCGTTCGACAGAAGCTCAAAGGAAGGACTTTTCCGTACCAGCAGACTCGTTTCAAGTCACCTATGAACCCTACACCATCAACCTGTGCCCTTGCGTGTGCAAGATCGCCCGCGTAGCTGGGGTAACGATACAGCTATCAAACAGTTCGTGCTCTCAAGATTACATGAGCGTTGGATTGAATGCTGCCAGCCTTGCCCTTCATGTAACTGATGTCTTTCATTCGCAGCTCGCCGCATATGGTATTGATGTCACGGACCTTACTCCATCAAGCTCTCAAAGCCACTTCCACTTGCCCTCCACACCTGAGAGCCACACAGGATCAACCGTGTCCTCGGCATGGATGACGTCGTCATCTTCAAATGCACGCATGACGTGCACGATACCATCCTTCCGGCGACAGGGCATCCACGGAACAACCGCGCAACCATTTCCTGTAGGCAGATCCCGTGAACAAAATGGCTGTCTTGTGCAGTAGAGGCTCCACGGACTGAATATGAGAGAGGAATGCATTGCCCAAACCTTCACCTTCAACAGGATGGCATGGATGACATGCTGAACTTTAATAAGTGATTTGACAGCTGTGCCTTTGTGGGCTCCGGAAATTAAGCCGGCAATGTCAACCACTGTGACGAATGCCTTCGCAAGATCATTCTGCACAACCGCAGTCCAGGCAAGATTTGATGGGTACTCTTTGCAGATGTTGCCAGGGCCGCAACAGTTCTAGGAATGACAGAAGTTGCGTAAATATGCAAATCAAACCAAGTGCTAACTACGGGAGCATGTATCCCAGGGAGTGAGGGGAACCGCCATCAGCGGTAGTTGTCCTGTTTCTTGCATCATGCATGCCTGCAGCGCTGGAAGTGTTCGTGCTGCTCCTAAAGAAATTCCGTGTCAAATTCAATCCAGCTGTGGCGTTCTGTGGAGGCGACAAGTTGTGACATCTCGTTGATCTTGAGGTGTAGTGTACCCCTTGCCTTCACTTCGCTTTTCGGCTTGTGCTGCGCCACAAGCCAGTCAAATCGGTCATCCTCCAAAAAGGCTCGGGTCTCTGTCGGGTCAATCGTGCAGAACGGCACCTTGGTAGTACTCTTACGGGCACGTCTAGCTGCATCACCATTCAACAAGAAGTCAAGCAGGAATGCCCAAGTGAGAGCCTTTTTGAGCGTGCGCCATTCTCAATTTTCAATTACCTCACCTCTTCTGCAGCCAAGTCTTGCTGTGTGTGTGTCCTGAGGCTCTGACATTTGCGGTCTTTGAGTGATGAGACTTGCCTCAGTATCACGGTCGCTTTTAAATCCTACTATTAAGCCTGCAGATCTTTACCTGCCACTGCAATGCTGTGACAAATCCTCGCCGAGAGTCTCAACGTGTTGTAGAGCGTGCTCTTGCCAACGTTCCTAAGATAGGGAAAAGCGTTTAGCCAAAGAGGGTTGCTGTGCTGGTGATTCCCTGTAGCATAGTTCTTGCATTGCAAGCTTCGGCATGCCCACGAGACCCACTTTAAGCGCTCGGGACCAACGACCCAGCATCCATGGGCCGACTGCCTCCTGCCAGCCAGGCAACATCAGATTCCAGGATTTTCAGGTCTACTGGCCGCGGCTGCCTCCTCGACCTTCTTCTTGGGAGGCATGTTGGGCAAGAGAGTATTGGGCAGGGAGGAGGCGATCTGTCTTGAGAGAAACCCAGCAACATCGTCAGACAACTGAACTACGAGTACCCTGCGCTGAGCCTTCATGCGCTACTTGGCAAGGCCACGCAATCTCATAATCACAAAGGGGCAAGAACTGTGAGAAAAAAAAGTCATGCCGGAATCAGCCATAGTACAGGCACTGTTTGGATCTTGCCGCACTGCAACGCTGCATCTGCAACAGGTTTACTTCCGGCAATGATCATGTCCAGTCCCGTTTTGTAAAAGTTTGGGACAGGCGCAGCCACTCTACGTGGAAAGAGGCGCAGAGGTAGCTAAAATGAAAACATACATGTGTGCCCACTTTCGTGGCGGATATGACTTGCTTTGAGCTCTCAAAGCATGGTGCAAAGTGATGCAAATTGAGCACTGCCTCAGCCAACATGTGAGGTTTGCACTTTGCACCTTAAGGCCAGCTATTCTTGTGATTGCTGGTAGCTGCCACACTCAAATCAGGATCCAAGATTTGTGCAGCTGGCTTATCATGCAGGTGGAGTGACGTAGTGGTAAACAGTATTGTACGTACTGCAACAGGGGCCAAGACTCTTCCTTTCGTTCGGCATCCTTGCGCTGGCATGTGCCCAGAAAATACCCTCACTCCTGCTGCAGGCAGCCGCGCAACAGCCTCTACACATAGCTAGTGGAAGCTCCAGCCATGGTCCGTTCTGCATTGGAAAGGATGTTGCTTCGTCTCGTTCTTCTGGCTATAGATCTTTAAATCGTTAGAAACTGCAGAACCAACCAAGTCTATCAGAAGCATGCAGCATGTCGGTTTCCGTGCCTTGCATAGCATCGCCTACGTGCAGGACAAGTCTAGCGCCAACCATTCATTAGGCTACGGCTGCATCTTAATTCGAATGTGCGAAGCTCAGCAAGGAACAGCACAGATCAACCAAAATGCAAACTAGATGCGGGAACATCGGCTGAAGTCCAGCCAGCAAAGGCATTAAAAGCAGGTATTGGCACAGTGCGCCTATTGGCACAATGCGCCAATGCAGCGACAGCATGGAAAATGTCGGATGCAAACATGCGCTTTGGCCGCTTTAGCACCTTCACAGGTGAAGCTGGTGCAGAACACCAAGGCCACGCTCAGTTGGCACATGTGCCCATCCTCTCTCCCATCCTCACAAAGGTCCTTGGCTGCCGGTGCTGCATACAACAGACTCTGGTTTCAAGCCACTCTTGCATAGATCTCAACTTACGCCTGAAGGAATAACCGAGACACTCCAGGCCGCGTGCAGAGGCTTCGAGGAGGTCCTGATTGGAAACCATGCGAGTCTGACGATCAGCACTTTGCCCAGCCCCCCGATTGCCCTGGCCAGTCCGTGTCCCATTGAACAGCTCCAGGCTCTGTCAGAACGACGCCTTGTGGTGGGAGAGTTTGTCTGCGGGCTTGCAACATGCGCACTAGGGTCATGATGGTTGAACCCTTCTGTAGGCGTGGTTGCGTCGCTACACTTGCTGCCGACTTCAGTCGAGCAAGAGCAAGGAGGCACGCACACATCTACGACAAAATGCGGCCATGCGTCAAGTAGACCCTCCATACCTTAGGCACAAGTCCATCTGGGTCTTCCAAAGAATGGTGATGACTGATGCTTTTTGCGACAGAGTTTCTGAAAGTATCCATAGCAATCTCCTTTCTGGAAGTCCGAGCCTTCCTGTCTGATACGGCTGCCAAGCACAGCCAAGAGAGCTTTCGGCAATAACAGGCTCTCTGATCAAGTTGTCTGGATGACTCTGCACACATCCAGCTGATCAGGGGTGGCCTTTCTGAGAAGCTCCACGGACCCCACCAGCGTTGCGCCCACAGCTACGAAGGCAACCAAACCAAAGCCGGCATGCTGAAGAATGCTGACCTGAAGAAGCAGAAGCAGTTGTCGTGGCAACTCTCCTTCTGCTTGTTCTGCACGGGTCAGCAAGGGTTGCGTGGACAAGTGCTGTGCTCACAACACACAGCCACTCTAGCCGACCTTCAGTTTGGAAATGCTTGGTACAAGTAGAAAAGTGAAACGACGGCTTCCTGCGAGCGCGTTTGGCGCCGAAGGTAGGTAGCTCAAAAACATGAAGCAACACCTTTGCCAATCTCAAGAAGCATGACCTGTCAAAAGCCCTTCCAGTACCTATCTCACTGCATGAGTGGCCTCGAACGTGCACGCTCAAGGTTTGGGTCTGGTATGGTGTGTTAGAATGGAATACCAAGTTGCCGATCTGCAATTCTCCGTGAGGACGTCCACGTTGGAGTTGTTCATGGCGACTGGATTCACTGAGTAGTACTCCCCAATCAAACAGTTTTGGCTCAAGACCTGTCATGTGCAGCCGCACTCTCTCTCTGCTCCTATATTAAAAAAAAATTCTGGTCAGATTACATGTGACTATTGCCTGCCAGGGCTTTGCTGTAGCTACTGACCCAGTTCCGGCAGCGCCTGGCCCGGGCCGCAGGGGAAGTGGAAGCGATGGTAATCCTAAAGTCAGGGATGCCACCTCCCTGACTGGGACTGTTTCCTTCCTGCTGCTTCGATGATTCTGCATTGAAACGAAAAGCTGAAGACATTCCTATCGGACCTCGAAATCTGACCTCAAAACAGTCAGCGAAGTCCTGTGGCGCCAGACGGAGAACAGCCACGGAACAACCTGCTTTTCGCAAAGAGCCGGCATACTCAAACTGAGGTTTCCAGAAACTAGAGGTACCTTTTGTGAGGGGGCCGCAGAACATGGCTTACAGCATGTTGGGGTCTATATTGGGGACTCCCAATTTACAGAAGCCGACCACAAGACATTTCAAGACACCCGCCTGACTTCCGCAGGAAAGGCTCTGCAGCGGCAGAGCTACCCAGGAGTTCAGTCACAGAGAACTTGGAGCCCTTGGACTGAAGCCAGACCCCAATGCACTGATATACTGACTGCTTGGCTCCCCATGCTGAGGAGGTGGCCTTGATCCAAACGCGTGCCGCCTCTTCAATGTTTGGAAACACGATGGCTCGGCAGTCTGCGCTGCTGACAAAAACGCTCGCGTCCTGGCACCGCATCAAAGTCTCTGCTGGCTGCTGGCAACTGCGCGGCTGACCCGAAACGGGGGGCGGGGCGTGCAACACTCGCCCCGAACAAAAGTCCATCTAAAGCTGTTGCAGACAAGAGCACCAAGCCATCTGCACCCTGAAGGGCTCCTGAGGGCTGTGAATGGGACGTGCGGAAGGCTTCAGCTCCCGAGTGAAAAAGTCCTCGAGCCAGTTTGGTGCATCCAGGCTATTGCACAGTCAAAGGCAGCTGTGATAGCCGCAGGTGGCAATGATGGCAACAGCACGTTGCAAGGCCAGACTGCATGCAGTCTGAGCGGCATTCATTGTATGGAACTCGCCCAGCGGAAGCAACACCTGTGCGAGAAGTAAGTGTGCTTAACGCACATGCGCATCATGATGGAGGCATGTACCGGTTTCGGCTCGGCCATAATCCTGTGTGCTGAGTCCTGGGTGCCTGCCTCGTCCATGTCAATGTTATATACATCGACAAACTTCTGGACATCCTGACACGCTCTTCGCAAATCAAATGCCGAGGACTCTCTAGACCCGGTAGTCCTTCTTGCTGGCAGTTGAGCGCATCTTGCGGCCCGCATGTTGGGTCAGCCTGTCAGTGAGACGGCTAATGCCTCAAAAACCGAGTCCTGACGCATGCAACGCCTTGGTATGCTATTGCAGTCCTGCCTGCGCAAGCAGCATCTCAGAGGATGTGCAGGAACAATCCCGCACGCAGTCGTTGCATACCTGCGTGACTGATGCATGGTGTTCTCAAACAAGACCCTTTGACAAATGGCTGACCATTCACGTCGGAAATGGAACCACTATTTGGTCCAAAGACCGCTTGCAGTTGCATCCAAGTCACAAGCCCTTCAGTATGGACCATACCGGGCCAGGAATGACTTCTTCAAAGACTTTGCCAGTTTCACGGTTCAGCACCTGATAGTAGACGTTAATTACAGGCTCAGCAGAGACGCAAGCGCCGGCGACCATGTCAGCAGGATACAAAAGTGTAGGGGCAAAATCGCATCTCCAAAAAACTGAGGAAAGCGCGTGTCGCGTGAAGCGAAAAGCTGTTTGGGTGTTTTCCACAGACCCACGCTCCTCAGCTTCACGTGCCGAAGAGCTCGATTTTTCTTTCAAAGAACATGATCTAGTTTGCAAGCCTTTTAACTCCGGGCTGGGCAGCAATCTTCGTACCCTCGTAGGTGGAGCCAACGCAGCAGCATTTTTTTGAAGGGCGGCATCCCATGCTAGCAAGATGTCCACGTTGAGTATTCTGACCCCTCCCAGGAGGGATGCGTGGGTGAGGTTGGTAGAAAGGCTTAAAGTGTTCTGGGTGCTGGGTCTCCTGACGCTGAAATGCTAAACATAGCTAGGGTTGCCGAGGAAGTGCGGCTAGCGACCGCCAGCCATCACGGACTTTTTTGCTTGGCGTTGCTTTGCATGAAGCGACTGTGCGAATGACCTTTGTGGGTCATTGATCCGGACTGATGAGCCATGCCGCCTGCCAGGGCAATATCACAACCTCAACAAGGAGCACGCATGTGATCTAAATGCATGCATGCCATTGTGAATGTAGAGTTGCGAGAGGTGAAATGCAACTCCTAACTGCGAGGTGCACAATTGTGCGCAGCTGTCTCAAGCGCGTGTTTTGCCCTATCCGCCCTCTTGCATGTTGCAAGAAGCATGCGAGTGAAACGTGTCACGCGCTCTGGTGAGCTCCCTAGCGCATGCTAAAACTGATGATTGAGGCCGAGATCCACGCATGTGCGAGAGCCCCTGAATTCAGCGGTCAGAAGGACGCCTGCGTTCCGTCCATCGCTTGCTTTGGCTCGCGAATGTCCGCAGGCGTGTCCTGTCCAAGAAAGAACTGTGACTGAAACGCACTCCACAAAGAAATGGATTGGCCGTGCCTTTATGTCAATCAAGTGTATTGTACAATCCTCTGCGGATGGTTCGCCTTCCGCTGCCTGATGCAGCCAGGCTCGCCAAGAGTGCCCTCTGAGGCTCCAGCAGCTTACATGGCAACAGCTGTGCAAGCCCTCCTTCTGGATAACAAAATCAAGCTTGCCTTGGCACAGGCAGATCAGAAGCGTTGACACTACATCAATCCCCATCACGACGTAAAGATTTCAAGCTCTCATCCCCCCAAAAGGACACCCTGCAAACATGCTCACCGGCCTTCCTACGGAATAGCACACATTTGCCAAGCTTGATGTAAATAGCTTGCCCTATCTGCCCTATCTGCCGCCGCTGAGCTCTGCTTGATCTGGGTGTCGTTCTTCAGCTCTTCTCCTGAATGCAAAGGCCATAGAAAGCCATTCATGGCATCTGCTTGAAGACCCTACTACCTCCTGGCCTTGGTACACAAGGATCATGTCCTCAACCTGGGTAAATACAGACTTGTGGATGCCAGGCACTCTTGTTTGCAATGTGGAATCTCAGTTCCTAGCTGGGATCAGCATTTTCCGGGCTGTGTATCTCTTGAGCATATGCACATTGTCGTTGATAGAGATTTCCACCTCCACGGAGCATGGCTGGAAAAGTCAGCCGCAGGAAATCCCCAAAGGCCCCCGACCCAAACCGTTCTGGCATTTTTGACGTTCGTGATGAACAGCAGCAGCGGTCGGGGTGGTGGAGGTGCAACCTCTTGGCGGCATCGCGCGAAGTAGGTGAATACACTTTTCTGCGCAAAGACTGAGTTCAGGACCTGATAGCCTTCTGGTATAGGCTGTGGAGCAGGAAGCGGCGTTGAAGGCCTTGAGGGCACTGTGATCAGAATGCTTGCTTTCAAGCAAGATTGCATGTTCTCTCCTCTCACCCACTGGCATAAACCCTGTTAGCCAAGCTGAGTTGAGAGCATTGCCGCAGATCGGTCAACACAACTCCCTCCGTCTAAGCAGACCCTTGTACAGCAATGGCCAAACATTGGCAGGATCAAAGACATTGCTTCCTAATGCTTCCTTGCTGATGAGTGCCATGCATAGCCACCACACGCTGCTGTTTGCAGAAGATTCAGCTGTGCAACAGCTGCAGCACCTTCCGAACTAATTTCTTGCTCGGCCAGCTTTGTCCGATGCGATGCTCTGTCACGACTTCATCAGATGATCTGCTGTGCCATCTTTCGGCACTCCTGCCAGAAAACTTGCTTGCCAGCATGTCAGGACAGACTGCAGATCAAGCTTTGCGGCAAGACAACCCGACTACTTGGGTGCAGGGTGTATGGAAGAATAGCTTTGACACTTTACACTTTTGCCATCTGCTGGCGCGAGTCTGAAGCTACTCTTTCCCTCAGGAAGCCGTTGACCATCAGATCCAAGCAGGGATAGCACCTGAACTGTCGGCCGCACTGCGGAACGTGGTGCAGGCGAGATGCTTGTACAAGTATGATGCTTACGCGACACATTTTCTTGGTGCTTAGGCCTACAGTTCAGTACTGACCCAGCTGTGTAGCTAAGCGCTTTCTTCCGACGGATTCTTCTGGTACATGCTTGCATTACTTGCCCCATTTCTCGGCCATGCTTGTAAGGCTGTTCACATACCCCACCCTCCTGGCTTGTTGTCATTGCCCCTGTCGAGGCTGCTTCTCTGCTGCCGACCCACTGCTAGGCAAGACGCCAAGCCCCACTCCTATGCTTCTCCAAGCCGCTAGCACCACGCAGCCAGACTAAGAAGTCTTCAAATGGCTTCGTGACTACATCTTGTATCAATACTAATGTGTTGTGAGCATTTGGGAGGCTTTCCAGGCAGCTTTTGAGGGCTGCGAGTAGCATCCGCTGTGGTCAGTGCTTTTGATATCAAACGGTTAGAACTGACAAAACAGCGACAGCTTCGTCGAAGTAAGAGCGCTGCATGACAGCAAACCCGTGCTAGAAGGCTCTGAGCCAGAGCTACTTCAATCCCAGTTGTCCCACCACAGCACCTGCACGTTCTCTGACATCTCTCACACCTTCACCTTGCTGCCGTAC